TGCTGCATTGCAGACCCAGTTGTTTGCTCTCAGCCTGGAAAAGCAGTGGAGGGTGGCTCAGGTTCTTGCAGCATTGATATCTCATGTGGGCACCAGTTTGAGTCCCAGCTGCTCTGCTTCCAGTCCAGCTCTTTGCATTCGGCCTGAGAAAGCAGCAGAGATTGGCCCAAGTCTTTGGGGCCTTGCATCTACATGGGAAACCTAGAAGAGGCTCCTGACTCCTGGCTTCAGATTGGCTCATCTCTGACCATCTGGGGAGTGAACCAACGGACAGAAGACCTCTCTCTGTCTCTCTTTTCTCTATAACTCTGTCTTTTCAAAATTAAATAAATCTCTAAATAAAATAAAAAGTCATAGTGTTCAGCATTGGCGATGTGCATCAAACTGATGAGCATTCGGCTGATGAGAATGCAAATTGACTCACTTTGAAAAAAATTTTCATCTAGTAAAGCTGAAGAGACACATGCCCTAAGACTCAGCAGATTGACAAGGCACATACCATGGGGAAATCTTTGATGTGAGGAGAGAAGATAAATATGAGAATGTTTGTAGCAGTAATTTTTTCCGTAGTCTCAAACTGAAAATAGCTCGGAATCATCAAAAGATAAATAACTACATTATGGTCTATCCAGTTATACTACAATGAAAAGTAACATTTGTTTGCCACATTTATTTGGTTAAGTATTTTCACTCTAGAATGCGACCTTTTTGAAAATGTTTTTGTTTGGGACAGAGAGATGGTGACAAGAGGGGGAGAGAGAGAGAGAGAGAGAGAGATTGGTTGATCGATCTTCCATGTGCTTCCCAGCTGGCTGCCATGGCGTAAGGCTGGGCCATCTTCTGCTTTGCTAGACACATAACCAGAGAGCTAGATCAGAAACACAGCACTCTGATGTGGGATGCCAGTGTTATCAACAGTGGCCTAGCCCACTTGTGACAACACTGATCCATAGACTATAAGCTTTATGAAAGCATATATACTTTTTGTTGTATTTGCAGCTTCTGTAATAGCATGTGCTACATAGTATATAATAAACACAAATAGGTGGGATGAAATATTAGAGATTCTGCCTGTGAACATTTGTAGTGTTACTACTTGTCTATAGAAACATACTGATTTTTGTATTTTTTGTATTATGGTTGTGCTATTGTGGATTCTTTGAAATTTCAGATTGGAAAGATTTGCTGAAGTTGGGTTACTGAGGTAAAGTACAGAAAACAACAAATTGTTGAGGATAATGAGTATCTGTAGTCTGGTTCCTCAAATGATTTCGTATTTTAAATACATCAGAAGTGGAATGCTGCATGAATAAGATGGCCTTGCAGTTAGGGTGCTGTTAGGGCAGTGGTGTCTCACATCAGAGTATCTGAGCTTGACGCCAGCCTCCTCCTCGTGCAGACTCTGAGAAGTGGTGACAGCCCAGGTGGATTCCTGTCGCTGACCTAGGAGACTAGGATTGAGTTCCCAGCTCCGGGCCTCAGCCACTCACACTTGTTGGCATTTAGGAATTCAAGTAGGGGATAAAAGCACTTTCTCTGTTTCTCTCTGTTTGCCAGAAACCAAAGCAAAGCAAAACTAAAGTCAGAACCAAATTGGAAGGCATAGGCATTTTTGTGTGGATTTCATAGAATCGTGCCCAAAGACCCTCTCAAATAAAAACTTTACTTAGCTCTGCATCAAAAGGTGTTTGAATGCACACCTTTTTGGGTTTCAAGCTGATAAGTTTAGGGTATGTCTGTCGCATCTTCTACAGTTTCCTGTTTTGACTTTTCAATTAGCTTATTTTCTCAACCAACTGCTAGCCCAATTTGTCAGAGTGAAAAGGCTTTTACCATCACTGAATTTTGTAGGAACACACAAAATTAATTATGAAGACTCTTCCAAAAAATCATGATAAATATATATATTTTAAAAACTGTATATGAATTTCTTTTAATTCCTTTTTCCTTTTTTTTTTTAATTTTATGATACAAATTCACAGGATCTGGGATTTCCTGTACCCCCTCCCCAAATCCTAATCCTCCCCACAGATTTCCTCTATATTATTACAATACTGTAGTTCTTCGTAAATAGTCATAAGCCCATCATTCTGCTATTTAAGTGTATCCTGACGTTGCAGGTATGGACAATGGCAGAGTCCAGCATCCTGTTGTCAAGAGATATTTAACAGTTTCATTGGGAGTCCATCTTGAGTCTCGAAGTAGAGATGTATACTGCATTGTATGTTCACATCTGGATATGATAGCCTCTATTACACAGTTACTATACATCTCTGCCAGAGTCCAGCTCCAGCTGAGTTCGGAACTCAGAAGGGTGCGTGGATGAGGCATAAAGAGGAGAGAAAGACCACTAGGATTACATGATCATAATGGACAATGTGGGAAAGCTGTCTGCTTTATTTTTACGAAATCAGTCAAACTCTGGCTCAGACTTTTTATGTCATGGTCAAGTTGGGAATTTCTAAGGATAATTCTGCCATTAGTTTTACCTAGAAACAATAGAAGTTCCTGCTACAATTCTTACACTACAACTCAATCTTGTATCACAAAGAAAAGGGGAAATCTAAAGAATGAGGAAAGAATGAAGGCCTAAATGTAGGTCCCTTGATTAGCATAAGGTCAATGGGGACAGCCAAGACAGTAGGAATAATAGAAGGCCCTGTTGCAAGACGCTATCACTGACATTAACCTCCGAGCTCACACTGAGCAAAAGGCGAGCCCCACAGTAGCAAACAATGCCTGGATGGATTAGAATTCCCTGGCAGGGTGGTCCAGTGTCCATGCAAAAGAAGGTGGAGTTGCATTCAGGTGATTGCAGAGACAGTCTGCAGAGCCCTGCCAAACAGCGGGAAGTTCCCTGCAGCCCTGCCTGCAATGGAACAATGCTCTTCACACCTTCCTGTCCCCCACATCCACTGCATGGACCCCAACACATCTCCTCAAATGAAAAGCCATAATAAAAAACCAATAACAGAAAGGAAAATAGAAATTTACAACACCATGAAGTTAAATAACATGCTACTGAATGACTAACGGTCTCTGAAGAAATGAAAATCAAAAACCTTCTTGAAGAAAATGCTATTGTATGACCTATGAGTCAGTGAAGAATTTAGTGTGAGCAAAAAAAAACTGTTTTGAAGAAATGAAAATAAAAACAAAAAAAAATCAAAATCCATGAGAGGCAATTTGTGTTAATCTTTATTGGTGAGATGTGTCTCCTGTAGGCAACAGATAAATGGGTTTTGTTTTTTAATTTAGTTCACTAATCTGTGACATTTGATGAATTCAAGCCATTTACCTTCAAGGTTATTATGGATAGGAGGTAATTTGGCCCTGTCGTTTTAGCAGTGGGTTGTTCATTGTTTGATTTAGTCTTCTGTTGTTATTTTACTAGGATGTTCTCCACATTTGCTTTTGGTTTTAGTAAGTGCTATTCCTTTTTTCTGTCAAGAGAACATCTTTTAAGTGTCTTTTATAGGGCAGGTCTGGAAGAGGCATATTCTTTGAGCTTTTCTTTACTGTGGAAGAATTTTATTTCATCTTCAAAGACAAGGAAAGTTTTGCTGGGTATGTCATTCTGGGTTGACAATTTTTTCCTGTTAGAATCTGGACTATGTCATTCCATTTTCTTCTGACCCATAGTTTCCTGTGACAGGTCACCTGTGATTCTGATTGGGGTTCCTCTATACATCAATTGATTTTTTTTTTTTGACAATTCTATTGTTTACAGACTTTTTGAGATATCTTCATTTAGTGTAGAGCAGTGATCCCAAAATTTGCTTTGCATGAAAATCAACTGGACTGTAGAATGAGATAATTAACAATTGAAAAGCAACTTGCTTCTGGAATTCTTTTAGATCTTTTGTTTTTAAAGATTCTGTTTATTTTTACTTGAAAGTCAGTTGCACAGAGAAGGAGAGACAGAGAAATCTTTCATCTACTGGCTCCCTTCCCAAATGGCTGCAATGGCCAGAACTGTGCTGTTCCAAAGTTGGGAGCCAGGAGCTTCTTCTGAATCTCCCACATGGATACTGGGACCCAAGGCCTTGGGCCATCCTCCACTGCTTTTTCAGGCCACCAATAGGTAGCTAGATTAAAACTGGTACAGCCAGGACAGGAACTATTACTCAAATGGGACAAGTAGTGTGCTATACCACCACACTAGCGCCCTTTTAGGTTTTTTTTAATAAGCTCCCCTTGTTTGAAAACTACCGCCCAACTACTTGAAAAGATATGGGTTAAGACCTATATCATGCAGAGAATAAATATTCAAAATAATAACATGGATATATGGAGAAAATGTTGGGCCTAATTTTTATTAATAATATTATTCAGTTTGTGTTTTGTTCCATAACATTTGTGCAATATTATGTAAAGGATTTATAAGTAAATAGAAACACACTCTTAGGGATGAGGAGACAATCAAAATAAATTGCTTAAGCAATAGAAACCTATTTGTTTTCAATAAAGTGTAATGGAGGGAGAGTAGAGGTGCCCAATTTTGTATTACTGTAGCTTAAAATTTTGAATTTACCTTTCTATTGTATCTTTAAGACAAAGTTTAAGGAAGAATCATGAGATGAATATCTTCCCTGTGTTAACCTTTCTTTGGGGAAAAAATGTTAGTTGTCTTCCCTGTACTTTCTATGAACTAAATAAAATGGAACTTGTTAATCATATGAATTTTTGTGAAACAGCTTGCTCTTTACCTTTAGAAAATTGGAAACTTCTTAGCTGTCTTCCTGAAGTATTTATATTTTAGTCACATATATTTGTCTTTACAACCTTATGACATAGTTGAATTTTGACTTTGCAATATTTTTTATAATGTGTTACATTGAGCTGGAAAATGTGAGATATTGATTTTAATGCTGATTTTAAATAATAATTTTATATTTAGCATTTTGTAAGAATAAAATCCTAAGGAGTACTGTGGGTTTCTTCTGTTACTGTTTCTGATTATCTTGTCACTATTAGTGAGACAGTCATTTGTTTTCTAGATTGATGACATTGTAAAAGCTGTTGGTAACTGCAGCTACAACCAACTAGTGGAGAAGATCATCTCCTGTAAGCAGTCAGACAATAGTGAGCTGGTTAGTGAAGGTGGGTGAGTGCTACTTTACCTGACTTTCATTCTTGGCAAAATAATTTATTTTATAGTTTAAATTTTTTGAAATTTCTTCAGTAACAACTTCCAAAACATGCAAGTGATTCTCCTTGCAGGAATTAAGATACCGTCATCATAAAGGTACCAGTGGAAGATTTTTGTAGAGGCATTTTGCTTTACTTGTAAAATCAAACTTCAATTCTAATAATCATCTTAGGAATCACTTGACTACTTTTGTAAGGCCAGTTACTAAGATGTTACTCCTAATTGCCCTTTTAAGCCGATTACTTTGGGAGATTGCTTGAAGCAGCTTTCTGCTTTATATTGAACACTTCAGTTGACTGGCATGAGTAATGTTCTGCTCAAGTGTCCTATTTGGTTGCCAGTTGGTGTGACATTTCAGGACAATACAATGTAGGAAATCTCTATTCTGGATCAGAGTACACCTCTGAACACTAGTTTTTCCAATCTTTAACTAAATAGAGTTTCTGAATTTGTCATCACAAAAGTAATGTAGTATTTTTTTCAGCTATATTCTAATTAATAATAGGAAAAGGAAATTTGAAGCCAAAATACATTTTGATGTAGCTTCCCTACTACTTAATTTATTTTTTCACAAATGCACACCAATATTGAGGCTGCTGTTCTTTCTGTGAAGGATAAACAACAAAAAATTCTTTCTTAAGATTTGAAAGAGTTGTATTTGCTTTGGCAGCACATATATTAAAATTGGGAAGACTTGATAAAGTTAGAGAAAGACAGATATTCCATTCATCAGTTTACTCCGTAAATAACCTCAAGAGCCACGGCTGGGCCAGGCTGGAGCAGGGAGCAGCTTCTGGGTGTCACATGCGGGCAGGGGCTCAAGCATATGGGCCATTCTCTGCTGCTGTCTTGGGTGGATTCGTAGGGAACTTGAATTGATTAGCTGGGACTTGAACTGATGCCAGAATGGGATTCTGACTGTCAGGCAGTAGCTTTACCTGCTACACCACAACACTGGCTCCAGAAAAAGAAATCTTGAAGCGAAGGATGAACTTTAATCATTTTCACTTAGGCATGCAGTAATTATTATGAGGTATGATCAAAATAATGCATTTATAATTAAAATAATGCATTTAAAAATAAAATAACTGCAAGAATATATTCCTTACACACCCCCATTTTTTTGTTTTGCTTTGTTTTGTTTTGTTTTGTTTTGGCACAGTAAAATATCCTGGGCTCCCTGCTGCATCCTTGGAATATGAAACTGTATTTTTAATGCTCTGAACACTTTTGATATTAAAAGAAATTATGTAGTATAACCTATCTGACTTTGTTTAAAGATTTGCTTTTTAATTTGAAAGGCAGAGTTAAAGAGAGAGATCCTCTATCTGTTGGTTCATACCGTTCTCCTCAAAAGGCTGCAATGGTTGGGCAGGGCTAGGCCTGAACTAGGGGTCTGGAACTCTGTGCAGATCTCCCATGTCAGTGGCAGGGCCCCACATACATCTTTTGCTGCGTTAGCAGGGAGCTAGATCAGAGGTGGAGGAGCCTCAACTTGAACTGGTATTCATATGAGGTGCTCATGTCACAGGCAATCACTAACCAGCTCAGCATGATGCTCACCATATCTGATTTTTGAAACTCAAAGACATATTAGATTAAAAAGAAAAATCAGATTGTTGATTTAAATCAATCACAGCTGATAATGTTAAGACCTGGCTCAGCTTAAATTTGATTTTTTTTTTCAGTTTTTAAAGACTTAATTATTCTAATTATTATCATTTGAAAGGCATATTTTCCAGAAAGAGAGGTCTTCCATCTTCTGGTTCAACCCTCCTCTCTCCTTTCCTTCCTTCCCCTTCATCCTATCCCAAAAGACTGCAATGGTCAGTGCTGAGCCTATCTAAAGTCGCCAGGAACCAGGAGCCAGCAGCCTCCTTTGGGTAATCCCCCGTGGCTATAGGGGCCCAAGAACCTGAGCCATCTTCTTCTGCTTTCCCAGGCCATTAGCAAGGAGCTGCCTTGAAAGTGGAGCATCCAGGACTCAAACTGGTCCCCATATGGGATGCCAGCGTTGTAGCTGGCAGCTTAACCCATTGTGCTACAACTCTGGCCCCAAAAGAAATATTTTTATGTAAATCAAATTTTCTTTATTCTTGTATCTACTTTGTATTCCTTTCTCAATAATTTTAGTGTCCCCTTAATTTGTTTCTTTATGGCATTTGGAACTTTTAAGTTTTCTAGTAACTCTAGTAACAGAGGAAAATGATTTGATATGCTAGTTTATTACTGAGTTTCCAAATGTCAGAAATATTTTCAAATATGTAATCTGGTCAGAAAAATAATGCTTAGATTTATTTTCAGTAATATTCTTATTTGTAATCATGCTCACTTTTTGCATTTGGTTTTATCAGTATCAGTATCTGCAAGTCTGAAGTTGCGACTTAATCTGCATGTGCAAATAGCTTATTATTTCAAGCCAGACTATTTTAGCAATGCAGATAGCAAAGTACTGTTTAACACAGAGTTGTGTACTAGAATCTATTTAATTATTAAACATTGAGACCAGATTAGTTTTTCCAGTCTTCTTCTGAAATCACTGTTAAAGGCTGGCAAGAGAACTAAGAAACATTGCTTTTATAATTCTTAGGCTCTACTGGTGATTTGAAAAGAGATAAAATTCACTTGGCATTTATAATCAACTGTTATATGGGAAACCAGATGAAGCTCCTGACTCCTGACTTTAACCTGGCCTAATCTCAATCATGGTAGCCATTTGAGATGAACCAATGATAAAATAGTGTGTGTGTGTGTGTGTGTGTGTGTGTGTGTGTGTGTGTGTGTGTGTGTGATTGCATCTCTGTTCCTTTAACTCTGGCCTTCAAATAAATTTTAAAAATCCTTAATTAATAAATAAAACATAATAGTAAATCTTCTAATATATAATTAATAAATTTGTTGGGTAACTTACTGCTTAGCAAAGCAGCAATAATAATGGAAAGGGGTTCTCCTTTTTCTTAGATCTATAAACCCAAGAACTTACATTGATAAAGCCCAGGAGTATGCCATAGCTGTCCTTGCTGTAGCCCTCTAGAGCTCTCCCAACTCCCTCTTCTACTTCAGTGTATAGAATGGCGGGACATATTTGCAATTCTTACCACTTTGCTGATAAAAATACTATGGCTAGGCATTATGTGGCTCTGCCAAGTTTCTGATTTCTTATGAGGTTTTTTGTTATTTGTTTGTTTGTTTTTGCCCCCATACAGATTCATTTTTACAGCCTATGTGTGTGCCTCTCAACTCAAAATCCTTTCCATAGCACCCTTCCCCCTTGTTTTCTGGAGCATTTCTTATTAAAGGAAAGGCACATAGTGGAAAAGAAAAAGAGAAACATTAGGTTTTTAAAGTACTTATATAGCTGATACTCAGTATTTGTGGGAGCTATGCTCCATACAATCACTGTGCACACTGAATTATTAACCATTCATTACTCCTAAGAAAAATGCAGAGGTTAGGTTCTTATGTGCTTCTTGTCATGTTTTTATCAACCAATTGATACAGAACCTTGTTTTAATATATACTGTTGATTCATTAACATTAAACTCATAGCAGTGCTACAACTCATGTGTGAACTAAGCTTGTCTAAACATGTGTTTTCTTGTAAGAAGTATCACAGATCTTATCCACTAAGAAAATTAGCTAGCACTTTACCCTTATGCCCAAAGTGATTTTTTAAAGTACAAAGGTGTGGAAAATGTGATACTAAATAATTTAGACCATGAAAGGACACTTAGGTGAGAACTGTGGGAAAAAAACAGAATTTTTGCTTGTTTGACCTCAGTTGGGTAGGCACATTTCACCACAATGATTCAAACTTTTGGCTACTGTGCACATATCCACAAAATGATCATGACAGTGCTGTGCATATTCATTTTGGAGTTGTTAGTGAAATTTGCCTAACTTGCAAATATCAACCCACAGATAATGATGATCCACTGTGCCTATATGATTTAATTAAAGCCCAGAAAACTTTGCTGTATTTTTGTTTATATTTCTGAGCTTGATATCTCTTATGATAAATGTTGTGTGAAAGGAAATGAGGATTAAAATGGCATCATTTATCCCCTGTTTTCTATTTATCAATATCTGTTTAGTTTTAAGGCATGAACAAAGCACTTTAGAACCACAGAATTATCTCTGATGTTTGTTAAAATATAATGCAACTTAATTTGTTAAGGCGATTTTTAATTTCTAAGCCCCTAGCCATTGGCAGGGTAGCTATTGGTAGATATCTTTCTCTCCTACCTACTTTTTAAGTTATTAACTTCTGTCTTTATTTGCTTTAATGAAGTTTAATTGTATCGTGTTTTTTTTGTCTTCTATTGCAAGCTCCCTGAAGTTGTTCTTGGAAGTAGGTGAAGTCTAAATAAACATATCTGCTGGTAAAAACAATTTCACATACCGTTTTTTCTTTTTAGGGTGGGAATATATATCTGCTACAGGAAAATTAGAGCTGAAACTAGGAAACGTCTTACACTGGCTGGCTTTTCTCCATGCTTGGAACACAATGTAAATACAAAAAGAGTAACTTTTTAATGTTGAAATTATTATTCCATCTAATATTACTTGTTGATTTCGCAGGCTTTGTAGCTGAGCAGTTTCTAAACAATACAGCCACTCAGCTGACATACCATGGATTGTGTGAACTAACTTCAACGGTTCAGGAAGGAGAACTTTGTGTGTTCTTTCGGAATAATCATTTTAGTACCATGACCAAGTACAAGGTATGATGTAGAATTAGCTGTTTATAACTCAAAATTTTTTTATGGACTTCAAAATGAAAGACTGTAGCATAATATGCTCTGACCATCAAATTATGAAGGCATGGAGCTGGTGGGGTCTCTGAATAGGTAAATCCTCCTCCTTCAAGTGCCAGCATCCTACAGGAGCACCAGTTCGTTCCTGACTGATCCACTTCCAATCCAGCTCCCTGCTTATGACCTGGGAAAGCAGCCATGGATTGCCCAAGTCCCTAGGCCCCAGCACCCATGTGAGAGACTTGGTAGAAGCTCCTGGCTCCTGGCTTTGGATTAAATCAGTGTTTGCTATTGCAGCCATCGGGGGAGTAAACCAGTAGATGAAAGATCTCTTGCTGTCTCTCTAATTCTGACTTTCAAGTAAATAAATAAATCTTTAAAAAAATTATGAAGTCAGTTATTAAATACTTAAGATTCAGTAGTTAACTGTGTAAAACAATATTAACGATAAAATTAATGTGTGTGTGTATATATATATATTGTTAAAGATATGATGGTCAACAACTGACCTGAAATTTATTTTTCTTTTATCATTAAGTCTTAAGTTCTTTTTTAAAAAATATATTTATTTGTATTTGAAAGGCAGATTTATAGTGAGAAAGAAAGACAGATCTTCGATCTGCTAGTTCATTTACCAAGTGCTAAAGCCAGGAGCCAGGAGCTTCTGGGTGTGTCATGCAGGGGCAGGGTCCCAAGTCTTTGGGCCATCTTCTGCTTTCCCAGGCTACAAACAGGGAGCTGGATGAGAAGTGGAGCACATGGGACAGAAACTGGCACATATATGGAATCCTGGTGCTTGCAAGGCAAGGATTTCACCACTGAGCCATCATGCCAGGCCTAAGTCTTAAGGTTATTTTCATAGAATATTGCAATTAGAGGAATTATTTTCTAAGGAAAAAAATGTAAACTCTAGGGTTAGAGTTGTGTTAAGATGATCCTTTCTTCCTTTTTCTTTTTTAAAAGATTTGGTTAGAGAGAGAGAGAGTTGGAGCCAGGGAGTGATTTTCTGTTCTATGGTTTAATCCCCAGATGGCCACATGGCTGTGGCTAGGAGAAGCCAAAACCAGGAGCCAGGAGCTTCATCTAGCTCTCCTGCATGGTGGCAGGGGCCTTGGGCAATCTTCCTCTGCTTTTCCCAGATTTTTAGTAGGAAAATGGATTGGAAATCAAACAGCTGGAAAACAAACCAATGCCCTCTGAGATGCTGGCATCGCAGCCAGCAGCTTTAACAGTTACACTACAATGCCAGCTAAGATGACTTCAAGCAACAGTTATTTATATTTTAGCATTAAACGAAATATTTATCCTTGTCTTAGTATTTTTTTGTTGTTACAATGATCACTGTGTCTTTAAATTGTTGTTACATTGTCATAAGTATTTGAAAAAATTATCAAATTATCATTTTTTTTAAAGATTTATTTATGTATTGGAAAGTCAGATATGCAGAGGGGAGGAGAGACAGAGAGGAAGATCTTCGTCCAATGATTCACTCCCCAAGTGAGCACAACGGTTGATGCTATGCCAATCAGAAGCCAGGATCCAGGAACTTCTTCTGGGTATCCCACACGGGTGCAGGGTCCCAAGGCTTTGGGCCATCCTCGACTGCTTTCCCAGGCCACAAGTAGGGAGCTGGATGGGAAGTGGAGCTGCCGAGTTTAGAACCAGTGCCCATATGGGATCCTGGCACATTCAAGGTGAGGCCTTTAGCTGCTAGGCCACGCTGCCGGGCCCAAATTATCATTTTTCAATATCTTGCATTGATCTATTTTGATTTTTTTTTAAACACCTATTTATCGTTTTTTATTCGAAAGGCAGAATTACAGAGAAAAGGAGAAAGATAAAGAAATCTTCCATTGATGAGTTTACACTCCAGGTGGTCAAAGTGGGCACAGTTGAACCGATCTGAGGCCAGGATCCAGGAATCGGGAACCAGGAGCTTCTTTTAGATCTCCTACATGGGTGCAGGGATCCAAGGACTTGGGTCATTCCCTGCTGCTTTTCCAGGCCATTAGCAGGAAGGAGCTTGAACGGTAGTGGAGCAGCTGAAACTTGAACTAGTGTTCATAAGGAGTATTGGTGCCACAGGCAAAGGCTTGGCTGGCTATGCCATGGGACTGACTTCATCTCTTCAGTTTTTACATCTGAAAAATTTCACAAGTATATCAACCTTCAATTAGATTTCTATGGTAGAATGCTGGTCTTGTATCTATAATACAAAAAGTGTCTCGTAATACCTAATCCTAGAGGGTAAAAATGAAAAAATAAAAAACATGATTTTTCTGTTCCCCAATGTCGGCAGTTTCCTTCAGTCAAAATGGTTTGTATCAGGCCTGGCGTGGTAGCCTAATGGCTCAAGTTCTCGCTTTGTATGATCAGGTATCCCAAGTGGTCGCTAGTTCTAATCTCAGCTGCTCCACTTCCCGCCCAGCTCCCTACTTATTTCCTAGGAAAGCAGTCAAGGATGACCAAAAGCCTTGAGACCCTGCACCCATGTGGGAAACCTAGAAGAAACTCCTGGTTCTTGGCTTCAGATCAGCTCAGCTCTGGCCATTGCGGCCACATGGGGAATGAACCAGAGGATGGAAGATCTTTCTGACTCTCCTTCTCATTGTAAATCTTAAAAATAATAGCAAATAAATCTATTTTTAAAATACAAAATGGGGCCCGGCGGCATGGCCTAGCAGCTAAAGTCCTCAGCTTGAACACGCCAGGATCCCATGTGCGTGCTGGTTCTAATCCCAGCAGCTCCACTTCCCATCCAGCTCCCTGCTTGTGGCCTGGGAAAGCAGTAGAGGACAGCCCAAAGCTTTGGGACCCTGCACCCGTGTGGGATACCCAGAAGAAGTTCCTGGATCCTGGCTTCTGATTGGCATAGCATCGACCGTTGCGCTCACTTGGGGAGTGAATCATCGGACGGAAGATCTTCCTCTCTGTCTCTCCTCCTCCTCTCTGTATATCTGCCTTTCCAATAACAAAATAATAAAAATAAATCTTTAAAAAAAATACAAAATGTATCTACTTACTGATAAATTTCTGTTTCTGTGCATACTTCATGCTTTCTCACTGCTGTACTTTTACTGTCATGTCATCTTCTTGTCCCCTACTTGGAATATATTTGCTTATTCACATTCCATCCTTCTTTTTTTTTTTTAAAGATTTATTTTTATTATTTTTTCATTGGAAAGGCGGATATACAGAGAGGAGAGACAGAGAGGAAGATCTTCCATCCGATGATTCACTCCCCAAGTGAGCGCAACGGGCCGATACTATGCCGATCCGAAGCCAGGAGCCTCTTCCGGGTCTCCCACGCGGGTGCAGGTTCCCAAAGCTTTGGGCCGTCCTCGACTGCTTTCCCAGGCCACAGGCAGGGAAAGGGAAGGGAAGCGGGGCTGCCGGGATTAGAACTGGCGCCCATATGGGATCCCGGGCATGCAAGGCGAGGACCTTTTAACCACTTGCGCCACTGCGCCGGGCCCCACATTCCATCCTTCTTAAAGGCATTTGAAATACTGACTTCGGGGCCCTGCTCAATAGTTCAGTGGCTATATGATCTTGCATGTTCCAGGATCCCATATGGGCACCAGTTTCTATTTCAACTGCTCTGCTTCCCATCCAGTTCCCTGCTTGTGGCCTGGGAAAGCAGTGGAGGACGGCACAAAGCCTTGGGGCCACGTGGGAGACGTGGAGAAGAACCTCCTGGCTTCAGATAGGCTGAACTCTTGGGGAGTGAATCATTGGATGGAAGGTTTTTCTCTCTCTCCCCTTCTATCTGTAAACCTGATCTGCCTTTTATTTCATTTTATTTATTTATTTATTTATTTATTTTTGAGATTTACTTGTTTTCATTGAAAAAACAGATGTACAGAGAGGAGCAGAGACAGAGAGGAAAATCTTCCGTCCGATGGTTCACTCCCCAAGTGGCTGCAACAGCTGATGCTGAGCCGATCCAAGTGCGAGCCAGGAGCCAGGAACTTCTTCGGGTCTCCCACATGGGTGCAGGGTCTCAATCCTCTGGGCCATCCTCGACTGCTTTCCCCAGCCACAAGCAGAGAGCTGGATGGGAAGTGGGACTGCCGGGATTGAACCCGCGTCTGTATGGGATCTCTGTGCATTCAAGGCGATGACCTTAACCACTATGCTATTGTGCTGGGCCCTCTTCTTTTTTTTTTTTTTTTAAGATTTATGGCTTTTTTATTGGAAAGTCTGATTTAGAGTACCAGCTGCTCCATTTTCAATCCATCTGCTTGCTAATGTGCCTAGAAAAGCACTGTGAGGATGGCCCAAGTGCTTAGGGTTTCTACACCGTGTGGAAGCCCCAGAAGAAATCGCTGATTCTTTGGGAGTGAACGTGTGGATGGAAGATCTCTCTCATTCTCCTTCTTTCCCCCCGTCTCTTCTCTTTATGACTCTGCTTTTCAAGCAAATAAAATGAATCTGAAACAAAAAGTAGGAGGTCAGCACTGTGGTTAGGAGATTAAGCCTTTGTCTGTGGCACATGCATCTCACGTGAGTCCCAGTTCAGTTCCTGATTCCTCCCCTTCCTATCCAGCTTCCTGCTACTGTGCCTGGGAAAACAACAGAAGATGACCTAAGTGTGGGTCCCTGCACCCATGTGGGAGACTCAGAAGCTCTTGATTTCTGGCTTTGGACTGAACTGTTTGTGGTCACTGGGGAGTGACCTAGTGGATGGAAGAACTCCCTGTGTGTGTCTGTCACTCTGCCTTTCAAATAAATTTTTTTGTTTTATGTATGTATGCATGTATGTATTGTTGTTTTAAATAGCAGTTCTCAGGTGAGCATTGTGGGTTAAGCTGCCAGCGCCCACTATCAGTTCTAGTTCAAGTCCTAATTTTTCCACATGCAGTACAGCTCCCTGATAATATACCTGGGAAAGCGAGAGAACATGACCTGAGTACTTTTGCCCCCACCATCCATGTAGGTGGCCTGAATGGAGTTCCAGGCCTCTGGCTTATATCCAGCCCAGCTCCAGTTGTTTTGCCCATTTGGGATTTGAAGCACTGGGTAGAAATTTTTCTCCCCCTCTTTCTATTACTGTTTCAAATAAATAGATATTTAAAAGAATAAGCAGTTCTCAACATAGATTGCAGGGTATTACTACCTGTGGAGCTTGTTAAAAACACAGGTACCCAGAACCTTTCCAAACCACTTGGCTTCAAATTTCTAGGAGGATCTTGAGCATCGATATTTTAAAATACTCCCCAAATTATTTTAATTTGTAGCTCAGATTCCAGATTCCCAGACCACTCGTGTTTTGTTTTTTAAGATTTATTTATTTCTGTTTGAAAGATAGATTTTAGGAGGAGAGACCAAGATCTAGAGGTCTTCCTTCTGCTGGTTCACTCCCAGGTGGCCACCATCGCTAGGGCTGAGAATATCTGAAGCCAGGAGTTTCTTCTAGATCTCTCATACAACCCAGGGTCCTAAGCCTTGGGTCATCCTCCATTGGTTTCCTGGGCCATTAATAGGGAGCTGGGTGGATGGAGGAGCAGCCAGGACACAAACTACCACCCATATGGGATGCCAGCACTTGCAGGCAGGGGATTGGCCAGTTGAGCCATTGCCTCATTCTCTCTGTCTTTTTCTGTGTATGTGTGTGTGTGTGTGTGTGTCTCAGTCTTACCACTGCTTTAACCATAGTGTAGCTGTGATGGGACATGTTATTATCTTTTAGCCTCTATTGGTTAGTACCTTAGTAGCTGCTCTCTTGCCATGTAAATGTCTTTTTCTAAAAGGTAGTAGCTTATTGAAGGCATAAAACATGTTTTCATATATTCCACATTTTAATGAGTTACGTAGAGCTATTATGAAATGATATTTCTTTATGTGAGAATTGCATAAAGCCCTAGCTGTCCTGTTTCTATTTAGTTATAGCAATGGTTATGTGAACTTTATTTTTTTTTTTTTTTTTTTTTTAAAGATTTATTTTTATTATTTTTTCATTGGAAAGGCGGATGTACAGAGAGAGGAGAGAGAGAGGAAGATCTTCCGTCCGATGATTCACTCCCCAAGTGAGCGCAACGGGCCGATACTATGCCGATCCGAAGCCAGGAGCCTCTTCCGGGTCTCCCGCACGGGTGCAGGTTCCCAAAGCTTTGGGCCGTCCTCGACTGCTTTCCCAGGCCACAAGCAGGGAGCTGGAAGGGAAGCGGGGCTGCCGGGATTAGAACCGGCGCCCATATGGGATCCCGGGGTTGCAAGGCGGGGACTTAACCACTTGCGCCACCGCGCCGGGCCCGGTTATGTGAACTTTAGATAAGCGTCTAGACTATCCATACTTTCACAAATCCCAGACCAAAGAATCTTAAAGCCAAAATTATTGCTGTTTATTGTTGTTTGGTAAATACTATTAAATGAACTTGCTTTCCTGACTCTTTAATGTTCAGAATGTTTTCATTGAAATAACAAAAATTGTTGAACACAAATTATCTCAGTATTCTGCCACCTGCCAAGACCACGGCCATGAGCAAGGCAGCTGTGAATCTTGCCATTTCGGTACCACCCCAGTTTGGCAAGTGACAGATGCTAAATAATTACACAAATAATTACTGATTGGTCCCAGTGCAATGGCCTGTGACTGAAATCCTCACCTAGAATGCGCTAGGATCCCGTATCGGCACTAGTTCTAGTCCCAGCAGCCCTGCTTTGCATCCAGCTCCCTGCTTGTGGCCTGGGAAAGCGGTGGAGGACGGCCCAAAGCCTTGGGACCCTGCACCTGTGTGCGAGACCCCAAACAGCTCCTGGCTCCTGCTTCAGATCAGCCCAGCTCTGGCCGTAACGGTCACTCGGGGAATGAATCATCAGACAGAAGATTTTCCTCTCTGCCTCTCCTATATATATATATCTGACTGTCCAATAAAAACAAATCAATATGAAAAAAATAATATTCACTGCTTTATTGCTGTGGAAATACATTGTGTAAAGGGTAGGTATCACAGATTACAGGTACTTTTGTTGGGATTAATGATCTAATCAACTATATAAGATTTCCTTAAAAAGATCATTTAGTAAAAATGATTTCTTGGGTTTTGAAGTCTTTATTCATGTTTCTGAAAGTAAGAGTTACAAAGGGAGAGGAAGAGAGAGATTTTATCTGCCAGTTCACTCCCCAGATGGCCATTATGTCTGGGACTGGGCTTGGCCAAAGCCCAGAGTTTCATGTGGGCCTCTCCTGTGGGTGGCAGGAGCCCAAGCATTCAGGCCATCTTCCGTTACTTTTCCTAGGACATTGACAGGAGCTGGATTGGAAGTGGAGCAGCCAGGAAATGCATCACTGCCATATGGCATGCCTAATCACAGGTGTTCGCCTCACCAGCTACACCACAACACCAACACCAATTTCTTGATTTTTTTAAATCTTCAGAATTTACTCAGTTAATTCTGCTGTGAACATCATCAACTCTTACAATAATTTCTCTTTAAGATTTTTTTTTTATTTGAAAGTCATTGTCAGGAAGCAACAGAGAGAGATCTTGAATCTACTGGTTCAGTCCCCAAATGGCCACAATAGCCAGAGTTGGACCAATCTAAAGCTGTGAGCCAGTATTGTGTTTCAGGTCTCTCACATGTATGTAGAGACCCAAGGTATAAAGCCATCTTCCACTGCTTTCTCAAGCTCTTAGCAGGATTGGAATTGGAAGTTGAACAGCTGGGACTCCAACCAGCATCCATTGGGGCACCAGTGCTTCAGACAGAGGATTAGACTACTATGCTACTGTACCAGCCCTACAAGAATTTCTTACTCTTAATTATTAAAAATCAGTTGTGCATGGTAAGAGTGAACATGAAATCACTATACTTGGGCAATAGTAAACACCATATTAACTGAGTGAACTCAACAAGTAACAAAGTTATGTCTTTGTCAATTCTGAATACAAAAGTGGCATACAAACTCTTAATAAATTCTACCAGGATTGCAAATGTAAAGTTTATCCCTGGTAAAGTTTATTAAGATAGAAATAACACCTGAAAAATATTAAGTGCTAAATTCTGTGACTGTACTGGTAATAAGTTGATTTAATAAATGTTTAAATTGAAACTTTATGATAAACTCTACACTAGCTCCAGAGATAACAGAAATGTTGAAATACAGTACAGGAAACGGTATAAAACAATCATTAACACCAGGTGATTAGTCCACTATAGAAATAGGTACAGAGTACTGTTGGTGTGTAAAATAAGGGTAACTAATGGCAAAGGAAGAAAAACTGAATTTGAGTCATCTGAGTCTTACAGGAATAGGCAATGTGATATCCTTTTTGTGACTGTGTCCTGTTTGTCATCAGATGTAATATTTAGGATCTTTTATAATTTTCTGTTTTCTGACGTGGAGCTATAAACCCCAATACTGTTTTTAAGTCATGTATTAGTTGAATGTGCCAAAGGAAAAAAAAGTTTTTCACAGTGCTGTAATGTGCCAATTATAAATTCCATTCAGAGACAGTAGATGAGAACCAATAAGAGCGCTTGGTCTGTTTTATATGTTGGGCAGACCTAGTATGAATAATTAATATACTCTAGGTATAGAGGCTATAAAAATTTATTTAAATATAGTAACTAGTTTTGATCAACCTAATGATATTCCTTTTTTGTTATTTATTATTAAGGGTCAGCTGTATTTGTTGGTAACTGACCAGGGGTTTCTTACTGAAGAAAAAATCGTTTGGGAAAGTCTACACAATGTAGACGGTGATGGAAATTTCTGTGACTCAGAATTTCGTCTGCGGCCTCCTTCAGATCCTGAAACTGTATACAAAGGACAGCAAGACCAGATAGACCAGGTACATTTGTTCTGTCTTCTTCATATTGTTTAGAATGCTAATTCCTTGTTGTTTTAAAGTTTCTTTATTGTAAAGGCAGAATAACAGAGACGGAAAAGGAGAAATAGAGATGTCTTCCATTCGTTGATTGGTTCCCTCCCTAAAACTGGCCATAATGGCTAGGGTTGGGCCAGGCTGACGCCAGGAATGAGGAGCTTCATTCCTGGCTTCCTGCAAGTGTAGGGACCCAAACACTTGGGCCGTCTGCTGCTGCCTTGCCGGGTGAAACGGAAGGGAAGCTGAATTGACAGTGGAGCAGCCAGGACTTAAAGTGGTATTCTTATGGGGTGCCAGCCTTGTAGGCAGCTTAACCTGTTATGCCACAGTGCTGACCCCAAAATGATAATTCATTTCAAATGTGAATTCAGGGCCCGGCACTGTGGCCTAGCGGCTAAAGTCCTCGCCTTGCACATGCCAGGATCCCATATGGGTGCCGGATCTAATTCCAGCAACCCTGCTTCCCATCCAGCTCCCAGCTTGTGGCCTGGGAAAGCAGTCGAAAACGGCCCAAAGCCTTGGGACCCTGCACCCGCTGGGAGACCCAAAGAGGTTCCTGGTTCCAGGCTCCAGATCGGCGTAGCACCGGCCATTGTGCTCACTTGGGGAGTGAATCATTGGACGGAAGATCTTCCTCTCTGACTCTCCTCCTCTCTGTATATCTGACCTTGTAATGAAAATAAATAATCTTTAATAAAAAAAAAAAGTGAATTCAGTTATCTAAAACTTTAGAACCAAAGATTCATTTATTAACATATTTGTGAAATTTTCTTGATACTTCCTAATGTATGTGTCTATAACTTTTTAAAAATATTTTCAATATTGTTTACCTAGTTGAGAGGGATGCACACCTAAGTAAGCTTCTGATTAGGGTTGGGAAGGGTCTGGTATGGATGAAGTAGGTGGGACAGGTGCTTCAATTTTGTTTTCTCCTGTGTCTGCATGGGAGGAGCAGGTAGTGGGGGCACTCCTTGTTGTCAAACAACATCAGCAGCAGGGATGAAGGACAATCACTTAATGTCGCCTTAGAGACCCTAATGTAGAGAAAGATATTCCTAGGATGTTACTTGAATGATTTTAATACTTTTGAGATGTCACCGATTTCATTACAACAGAGTTAAGAAGATCTAAGGTCTATTGGCTGACCAAATCACTTAGTGCATCTCCAGGCGCAGGAACATGTTGCAAAGTTTGGCCAGGAGAGTTGTCCAACATGTTCTGCTTTTCATCCTCTGAGGAGGCACTCAACATTCCTGCTTGCCCAGATGACCTGGCTATCATGTCTGCTTGACCAGCCTGACCAAATGCCAGTCCTGTTTCTCATGCTCGCCACTGGGTGCTGTGGCCTACCACAGGAATGCCCACAATTCCTTGACATGGCCTGCTCATACCCTGTCTTGTCTGTGCCAGTGGGCACGGTGGACCAATCTGAGATGACCCACCTTCACTCTGCATTGGCTAGTGGGTGCAGCAGCCTGACCAGCCTGACCCATCCCCAGCCCTCATGTGTGAATTGGTGGGTGTTGTGATCCAACCTGGTCTGACTTGTACCCTGTCCTTGCTCTCACTTGTGCCAGTGTGTGCTGTGTACTTGTCCAGTCCAGTCTGTACCCAGTCTGTACCCAGGCCCACATGTGTGCCAACAAATGCTACAGCCCAGTGTGGCCTAAGCCCGGAATAGCCTGTCCTGCCACCAGCTTCAGCACTCAAACTCACTGGCAGGAGTTGCAGCCTTACAATGGAGTTCTCTAAGTTCCCCTATCAAGCCTGTTCCACTCAAAAGACTCAGGCCATGCATGTGTCAGTGGTGCTGTAGATCTGCACAGCCCGGACTGTCCCCAGCCAAGGTTGTCATACTCACCAGTGGAACTAAAGCATAGGGGAGTACCCAAAGTTCCCCTAGTAGGTGCTTTCCCACCCCTGATTATGTGCATGCTGGTATGTGCTTCAACCCAGGCTGACATGTCCCACCTTCATTCTTAGCTCTCACTGCTAGATATTGCGTTCTAGCTTAGCTGGCTGTGAACCACACCCTGTACTAGTTTTCATGTGTGGCAGTGGGTGCTACAGCCTAGCCCAACTGGACATACCCCACAGCCCCATCTTTTGCAAGCCCCAGCAGGCAGTGGGTGATACTACTTAGTTCAGCCCATCCTAGCCCAGGTCTCCAACATGGGCAGGTGCCTTGGCTTGGCCCAGACATGCCCTCCAGTTTTTCTCCTCTGTACCACTCCATTTCAGCTTCCTTGCCTACTTGCATGTTCAGTGGCTTGGTCTGTGGAAGCCTCTAGATGCCTCCCCTATCAAATATGCCCTCTGCCACTCTTAATTCAATACATTCCCCAGACCCCCTTCCCCAGGCAATCTGCAGTTCTCCCACCTGGGACTGGGGTGGTATGTCCCAGCCCAGCATTCTCTACCTTCCCCACATACCTTGAAAAGAAAAATTAGGCAACTATTCTGGCACATTGGTATAGTTAACAAATTTGGCATTAACCAGGCTTGGAATGCCTGGCAGTTGTTGGCTGCTTTTCTCCCAGCAGTTTACTTGCCTAGGTACAAGGCAACCTAGGCAGTTGCCCACAGCTAGATATCTATCTGTATCTATCTGTCTTTCTCTCTCTCTCTGTATATATATACACATATATACACACACACGTATAAACACAAATATGGATAAATATACATATATACACACCACACAGACACACACACATATATATGCTTAGATACTATAGAATTGTGAAAGTCATGGAAGGCAGTGTGGAATTTTCTCTAATTACCATAATAAAGCTATGCTAACATTAAACATGGAAGTGATATGATCTACTTTCTTTTTTTAAAATAACCTATGTAAAGAACACCTAGCAAATAAACTAGTCTGATTTTTTTGTTTTTATTATAACAAAATAGCTATGGTAGGCTAACTTTATAAAGAAAAGAGATTTAGGGCCAGGCACTATTGTGTAGCAGTTAAAGTCCTCATCTTGAACTCACTGGGATCCCATATGGGCGCTGGTTCTAATCTCAGCAGCCCTGCTTCCCATCCAACTCCCTGCCTGTGGCCTGGGAAAGCAGTCGAGGACGGCCCAGAGCTTTGGGACCCTGCACCCGTGTGGGAGACCTGGAGGAAGCGCCTGGGCTCCCTGGCTTCGGATTGGCTCAGCTCCAGCTGTTGCGGCCACTTGGGGAGTGAACAAATGGACAGAAGATCTTTCTCTCTGTCTCTGCTCCTCTCTGTATATCCTCCTTTCGAATAAAAATAAACAAATCTTTAAAAAAGAAAGAGTTATTTCCCTCCGATTTCTTGTAATTAAAGTCCATGACTGGGTAGCTCTATTGACTGAGCCTCTGGTGAGAGCCTAACCACGTGAAGCATCACAATAGTGGACGGACATGTGGGAAGAATATATCACATCTCTTACACAGGAAACCAAAGAGGCTGCTGTATTGCAGACCCTGAGTACATGTCCAAGTTGCCCAAGGAACTTCCCTCTTGACTCTACCTCTTAAAGGACCTTTCCACATTGGCACACCGTGAACCAAACTTCTAATAAACTTTGGGGGACACCCTTAGATATGTTCAATCCATAATAAGAAGGGTGTAAATGGAGACCATCAGTCTAACAAAGAAGTAGTGGTGGCTTGGGAGGTAGAAAGGAGCACACAGTTAAGGTGTATTTTGGTTAATCAGAAAAAAGCAGAAAAGAGGGAGTCTAGAAGATAGTATACGTAGGTGATGAGTTGCTGGGTGTTCTAAGCTGTACAGTGCAAGCTAAGGAATAGCAACACTTGCAACATGAAATGCCTCTACTGGTTATAACATTCTTGTAGAACTGAGATTTTGTCATAGGTGAGCAGGTCTGAACATACTAGAATGCTTAATTATTGGAAGCATGAATTCTTCTCTGACTGAGGCCAAAATATGGCTATGTAAGCAGTTGGCACATATTTTGCCCATAATAATTTAGGAGCATAGATACTGTTCTTTTGGCAAATAAACAGTTGTGTTCCTGGCACTGTAGCTCAGCCCTGGCTCTAAAAATAGATCCTGCAGTCTGGCCTTCAAAGATGCTGCAGTCCAGCTAGCGAAGGCAGTATTTACAGCTAATATATGTTTAGTTACATAATGGCAGTTTGCAAAGCATGCTGGGAGTGTGTGAAAGAAGGTTTAATTCCAGAAAATGCTTATCTCTTTAGGAATCTTTGAAAAACGGCTGTAATGGTGCACTAATTGTCCTTCAGACTATTTCAGGGGTGTTTATTTAAGAGCAGTATGTAAGATTTTCCTAGCCAATATGTGTTAAAAAAAAAAACACAAGGCAAAGGGCCTGAAGGCAAAGCAACAATAGACTGTCATAGTAATCTAATTGTAAAGTACTGAGATTTGTTTTCATGGAAAAAGCAAAGAATGCAACAGGATTTAAGATCATGGGATGGGTGGGTCTGTGGAAGTTACCACTTGCAACACTCACATCTCATATTGGAGTTGCTGGTTCAGGTTTTGGCTACTTTGCTTCAAATTCAACTTCCTGTTAATGCTGCTCTTGGAGGAAATTGTTCCGATACTGTCACCCAACTGTGAGACCTGAATTGGGTTCTGGGCTTCAGGTTTTAACTTGGACCAGCCCTAATTAATGGATGCATTTGAGGTATGAACCAACAAACAGGAAAATCCCTTTCCATCTGTCTCCATATTTCTCAAATAAAAGGGAAATAAATGATATTTAAGGGACTGTAAGGAATAAATACTATGGGGTTTGGGTAAGGAGCAAGACTTAACAAAATGGAGAGAAAAACCTCAGGGAGGATTCTTGAAGTCAGTAATCGTGGTGCAGTGTATAAAGTCTTCACAGATAATGAACTTTGCAGGGCCTCTGAGTTACGTAAAATTCTCTTATTTTGAGGTTTTCATTTAGATGTATCAAAGTGCCTGTGTTTCACTGTCAATCAAGTAAATGCAAAATCGGACAATAAAACCTAGGACCAACATGTAACACTTTTTCTCATAGGAAATAATCTGAGTGTTTATGTGGGAGGAGAAAGGAGTGCTTATGTCATTGAGTATGATTATATGATGAGTTACTTTTTTGACTTAAACAAGTGTCTTTTGGAACAGTATCCAGTAGATATTCTTGGGAAATTGTTAACTTTTTTAGAAACAGAAAACCTTTATAGGAGTAATTAGGAAAGAAAGAAATTTGAAAGTTTCAAAGAATGAGAGGTTTGTTTTTGTGAGAATATACAAAATTCTAAGTATATTAATATTAGTTGTTAATAGTTCTGGATAATAATAATGTGACAGACATTCCTATTGATGGTTTTCTGCTTTGAATTTTCTGCAGACATATGTTCCTTGAACAAGAAAACAGTTTTTAAGCTTTTGTGATACCTTATATACTGCTTCTGGAAAGAATTTCAAATAATTCCAAAAATATTTAGAATGATGACAGTATCACTGAAATAAGTTCATAGCTTCCCAAAGGAAAGACAGCTAACATTGATTTTAATATTTAAAGTGCAGTATGTGCATGTGTTTAAAGCCATCCTCATGGCTATATGCTTTAGCATCTACATTTGTACTCACTAATGCTTAGGTAAAATCGCTAACGATGGTTATAATTTAATTTCTTAGGACTATCTTATGGCATTGTCTCTACAACAAGAACAGCAGAGCCAAGAGATCAATTGGGAACAAATCCCAGAAGGAATCAGTGACTTGGAACTAGCAAAGAAGCTCCAAGAGGAAGAGGACAGACGGGCTTCTCAGTACTATCAAGAACAAGAGCAAGCAGCAGCCGCTGCTGCTTCCTCCACACAGGCGCAGGTAAAGCCCAGTGTTCCGATCGCTAACTATGAGGATCACATTAGCAGTAAAGAAGTTCCTGCTTGAGGTTTAAAAAAACAAAAGTTAAATCTTGTCTCAATTTTCTTAGTATTTAAAAGCCCAAGGGTTTTTGGGTACTAAGTTGCAACAATCCTATTCTTCATTTAATTAAAATTATTTCTCCTGATACTGTGATGGTAAGAATTTTCAAGTTCATTTTTTAAGTTCTTCAAAGCTTCAAAGAAAATAGCCACATTGGGGTGAGCATTTGACCTAATAGTTAAGACATCCAATAATAGAGTGCCTGGATTCGGTTCCTGTTTCTGTCTCCTGACTCCACCTTCCTGCCTATGCAGAGCCTGGTAAACAGCAGGTGATGGCTCCAGGGACTGTGTCCCTGCCAGCCTTATGGGAGGCCGGGATTGAGTTTGCAGTCCATTCGCAAGCCCAAATCAGACAGGCATTGGTTTAGTGAGCCAGCAGTTGAGAGCTCTGGCTCCCTGTCCCCCTGTCTTCCACTCAAATAAATAAATAAGAACTTAAATAAACTTGAGCAAAATCCTTTCAACCAGAGAGCAATAGGAAATATTACCAGAAAAAAAATACAGACTTTGGAATTAGATAAATGTGGATTTGCATTTCCTGCTCTGTCTTTCCTTCTTTGATGGAATACCTTGGACAAAGTCCTCTACTTCTTTTAAACTCATTTTTCTTATCTCTAAAGTGGAAGATAATACTTAAGTCTTAGGTTTGTAGTACAGGACAAATACCTAGGATTAGCACTTAACCCAATGTCTGATCCATACTAAGTATTCAGCAATAGTTAGCACCCTTTCATTTCTTAGTTGGCCCAATTGAATTTTTTCTTTGTTTGTTTGTTTATTTATTGGAAAGTCAGATATACAGAGAGGAGGAGAGACAGAGAGGAAGATCATCCGTCCTATCATTCACTCCCCAAGTGAGCGCAATGGCCAATGCTATGCCGATCTGAAGCAGGATCCAGGAACTTCTTCCAGGTCTCCCACATGGGTACAGGGTCCCAAAGCTTTTGGGCTGTCCTCGACTGCTTTCCCAGGTCACAAGCAGGGAGCTGGCTGGGAAGTGGAGCTGCCGGGATTAGAACCGGCGCCCATATGGGATCCTGGCGTGTTCAAGGCGAGGACTTTAGCTGCTAGGCCAAGCTGCCAAGCTCCCCAATTGAATGTTTTAAGTAACTGAAAGTATTACAATTAGGTGGGCTTTTATATGTTAAATCTCATTTTATTAAACTTAAAAATATTTCCCTTCTGTTATCTTTAACCATACCAACCCAGAACACGTCATTCTAATTTGGATATACATGAAAACAGGATGCTTTTTAAGGTCTAATGAGATTAAGTGCAGAATTCAGCATTAAAGTAAGCATGACATTTCTTTCTCTAGCTCAAATCTGACAACCTCAAGCTTAATAGTTCAATCCTACAATGTTATGATTGGCTTTTTACTCAAAACGCTATCTTATTTTACAGAATACACTTACCACACACTCTCAGTTACCAGAATTTTTTTCTCTTTTTAAAAATCTGTTTATTTACTTCAATACATTGGCAGAAGCATTGATTTTTTGGATAAGACCCCAAGAGCACAGGCAATAAAAGCAAAAATAGACAAATGGGAATATAGTACACTAAGAAGCTCCTGCACAGCACAAGAAACAACAGAGTGAAGAAACAATCAACAGAACGTGAGAAAATATTTGAAAACTGTGCATCTGATAAAGGATTAGAATCCATAATTAATGTTGAGAATATAAGGAGTTCAAGAAATTTAACAACATAGCAGTTGTTTAAGAATCAAAGAATGTGAATAGACAATTTTCAAAAGAAGAACTACAGATGACTAACATACGTATGAAAAAATGTTCTGTGGCACCAGCCATCAGGGGAATACAAGAAGAACCACCAGGAGGTATCATCTCGTGCCAGTTAGAATGGCTGTTATCACAAAAAGTCCACAGATAATAAATGCTAGTGACAATGTGGAGGAGAGGGAATCTTCATGCCTTGTTGGTGGGAATGCACATTAATACAGCAGTTATGGAAAATGTAATGGAGATTCCTCACAAAACTAAAAACATCTACCACAGGACTTGCCTATCCCACTTCTGGAAATACATGCAGAGGAAATTTAGTCAACATATGAAAAAGATGCCTGTATTATCATATTTGTTGCAGCCCTATTCACAATGGCAAAAATGTGGCATCAAGCATATATGGTTGGCTGGAAAAAGAAAAAGCAGTATATATACACAATGTAGTATTACTCAGCCACAAAAAAGAGTGAAAGTTTGACCCTGCAAGATTTGTATGAAATTAGGGATCATTTTGTGACCTGAAGTAACCCAGATAGACAAATGCAATATGTTTTCTCTTACTTGTGAAAGTTTATATATGTGTGCGGGTACCTTATTCTTTGATACACAGATATTTACAAATGTCATGTTCACTGAGTTATATACTTCATGTAATATCACTTTGTCCTCATTTTATAATTTGTCATGAATCATATGTTATGTAATGTTAATATATACATCCTGCTCTCAAAACAATGTATGTGCATATAGATGTAGCATATATGAAGCAAATATGACAGAATGTCAAAAATGATTACATATGTGTAGTCACTGAACTTTTCTCTATACTTTTCTGTATTTAGAATATTTTTAAAAGCAAAAATAAATAAAATACTATGGTATTTAATGAGCTTTTGAAGAATTATTATGTATTACAAAAAGTGTCACTTCTAAAATTTTCTAGACTTTACCAAATATTTCTTCAGTTTGAGGCTTCAAGTATTATAATTGTATGTATTATTGATTGAAATTCCATGTATTAGAATACTTGCTTTATTAATGGAGTCTCTCCATAATGGCAGTGGCAATTATACAGAGACTATGTAGTATAACATATTTATTGATACACCAATAGCTTCTTTGTCCATTAATGCTTTCTTTCACTCCGTGGGTTTTCTTGCTAGATAACTATGATTAAGCACCTTGGAATATTTAGGGGTAATTTCTTCCTATGTATTTTTCTAAAAGCAGGACCAACTAGTACCAGCCTCTCCATCAAGTGGAAGACAATCTGGGAGTACTGAACGTAAACGAAAGGAACCTCGGGAAAAAGAGAAAGAAAAGGAAAAAGAAAAGGAAAAAAATAGCTGTGTCATTTTGTAACAAATGTTGGATTCTGTTGGAACCACCTCTGTGTCTTGAGGAACAGAACCACAGGAGGAGAGGAAGAAAACCCGATAAATACCGTCTGTGCCTGAAATCCCAATGGATTTTGTTCATGTTTTTCAGGGGAAAGGTTGTTTGTTACAATCAAACTTTTTCAAGTCACACAATGCACTGTTTCTGAGTTGGAGTTTCATGTTACAAGTTGGAAATGCTATATGTTGTCAGTCGTGAAAAATACTGCACTTGTAGCCAAATAAGTGAATCACAGCAAATTTTTGTGTCATAGTGACATTGATAACTCATATCAGGTAGAAAGCTATTTTATCTTCTGTTCTAACAATGAATGGAGGTAATGGATTTAGTCTTATTTCTTCCTGACATCTAAATATTAGCACAATAGTTTCTAAAATTTTTTCAATAATGTTGATCTAATCCATGAGATACCAGGGGTTTAATATAGGGACATAAAAAAAATATATAGCAGGAATAAGTAAGTCTTAATTGTATATTGGACTAGTTCAGCCCTTGAACAGCTTTACCTTTCTTTAGTAATATACATTTTAGAGAATATCTTGAGAACCAATAATGGAGCTTGAATATAATTTAGATACAAATTGATATTTTTATTTCTTTTCCAATAGCAAAAAATGCATAACACTAATAATTACAACCTATGAAAAATCAGATATTAACGACTTTGTAGTGTTGTGAAATTTGAGGAATTTTGAAATCTTTAATGTATGTAACTTGGACCACAGTTCCTGTTGATTACAATGTGATGAGTGTGTAATATAGATGCAAACCACGTGGATGCTGGGCCTTGTAAATAGAAGTGTGTAGAAGAGCGGATACTTCCATGTCTACCTTTTTCTAGAATTACCTTAAACCTTAAATTTTAAATCATGTTTCTTGCTAGAAATTCAGTATATTTATTAAATCCCAACAAAGAAGCACATTTCTGAATGAGATAATTTCCAAGTCTAGTGAAGACTACAAAACTGAGAGTAGATAAGAATTTGGAAGAATTTATGTAAAAGCAATCACATTTTTTTAAACTTATGGGAATCAAATACTCAAAGCATCTTATAATATTTATAGGATTCAGAAAGAATATTTATTTAACTTTATTATGAGGCAACAAATATTTTCCTGTCTTTCTAGGTATAGTTTAGTAAACTGTCATTAATAGTCTTTCTTTATATGCTTTATATTTAAATATTTGTTTTAGTTATTTTTGAAAAGACTATTGCTGCTGCAAGTGTTTATATGAGTTATATCCCAAACCTCAATAAATTTGTTTATTTAAGAACAACATAATCTGATCTGAGCATCCACTAGGAGACTGTTTTGTTTTGTTTGTGATTTGGGGAGAGAAGATACTGCAAAAATTGTAATTGAAATTTTTTTAGACTGTTGTTCAGTTTCTTCATGATCCCAAAGTATAGCATGAATTTGTATGTAAAAAGTAGCTTCTTATTTATGGAAGAAATTATTCTAAGGCAAAAATCCAAGGTCAAGCTGTATCTGTTATGTCATTCTGTATTGTATGTCTTTTATGTTACACAGTTCATTAGTTCTTAAGATTTCCTATAGTAGCATGATAAATCATCAAGAATCTGTTTGGGGTATAAAATTTGGATGCAGAATACTTGGCTTGTCTCTTGATAATAACCTTGAAGATATTTCCATTGATTAATTAATCAGATATGCTACAGAACTGTACTGGGCTCAAACAGGTTGACCTGTGTACTCTTAATATCCTCTTGGTTAAGGAACGAAACTTAACAGATAATAGTAACAATAAATCATATTTTAATAAGAACAAAATAGTAAGTCCTGAAATTCAAAGAAGCGTATTTGAGGCATTCTTTCCATAATTATTTTCTTATCTATTTATTGCCCTTAAAGAATACATGCACAGAAGATACTCTTTTATCTTTTACAACCTTATTTTTTTTCCAAAAATAATACTGCCATTCTGCATTCTCTATAAATGGAAAAAAAAGAGAACACCTCATTCAAAACCAGCAATACTGCTATCAGATAATGTATACTTATAAGAGAAACCTTAAAAATGTAATGTTTGTTAATTCAGACTTTTCTATGTAATATTTCCACGTCAGACTTTCTTACATTCCTGGAATTTAGTTTGATATACCAAGAGTAATACTGATAAAATGCTTACTTTGATCACTGTGGGTATAAATCAAATGTTCATACAACAAATGGAATTCTCAGAGATACTACTTTTACTGTCCTTAATTATTATATATATATTTAAAAATCATAGCTATTGTCTTTATTTTCTTGTATTTTTCTCAAGGTAGCAAATTTGTATGGAATAAACAATTAGAACCAGCAAAAAAGGCAGATGAAGGAATGGATGTGTTTGCTGTACTTTCTTCCTTAGAATTAGTGGTCAATCTTTATTAGCAGTATGAGCATTTTCTTTATAATCCATTCATGTTACATCAATGTTGTGATTTCTGGTATTTAAAAATACTCTTTGTGTATGTCTGTCTATGTGTGTGTTTCTGAAATAAGGTTCCATGCCTTCTATTAGTTTGTCAAACAAATATGGAAACTTGCTCTGGCTTTAAGAATACGCTCACAAATGTACATACAGACACACTGTGAATCAGCTAAGCTTGGCATTGGCTGTACACTGCTTCAGTGGGCTTATGTAGTCATGTCTTCCATGTTTCAAGTCAGGTTGATAGTTGGATGAGGCGTATATTAGAATTAGGCTTTGTAATATAGTTATCTAATTTTTATTGTCTGATGTTTATGGAATTTGTTCACTGCACACAATGTTTTGAATTCTTCCTCATACTTCTTGTTGTTCACTTAGCTAAGGAAGTTAATATGAGAGATAATATACTGAACTCAACATTAATCTTTGTACTTGCAGAAAATTGTAGCATTTTATTTTCAGTAATCACAAACTCGAGACTGTTCACTAAGGGACATAACACGTAGAGAGGGAAAAGGACTTGAATGCAGCTGTTTAAGGAAAGAGTCGTTGTGATCTGTGTATTGATACTGCAGTGCAAAACAGTCATCTGTAAAACCCTGCTGGCAGAAATTAACACACAACTGTCTTCAAGGGATCTTGTTTGCTTGCAATAGTTTTTAAGTGATAATATTTTGTTTAACTTTCCTCTGAGTATACACATCACCCAGTACTTAACTTATTAATGTTTTGATAAAATAAAATGGAGGTTTAAACAATAGTTATGATTTGTATTTTAATAAACTGGACATGTAAAATTCTGGATCATTTTGTATTTGAAAATCTGACTATTTTACTTTGAGCAAACTTTCTATGCCTCAATTTGCTCTTTAAAAGTGTGAAGAATTTTTTTTTAAAAGTGCTTTGCATTCCTGAGTAATATAAGCAGAGTATTACTTAAATCACCACAGATATTAACACTTCTCTTATTCTTAAATGTGCAAATTTTTTCCAATGGAATAATGTGTCTAAAGTCAGTTTTATTAATGCTGTCTAAATTTGTAGAATTGTCTTTAAGCATGGCATCATCTCTTCCCAAAATGTATCTTACAGCTGTTTTTTTTTTTTTTCTGTAAACTATAGAATTAAAATAAGAGTAGGTGAGGAACAAAAACATTTAAATTCTCAATACTCTCCCCCATCATGGGATAAAGTACAATAGCATCAAGTTGCTAATTAATGTTTTTACGTAAATGGAATTTACCTAGATATCTCAAATACTACCACTTTAGGAATATTTATTAGATTTTGTAGTATAAAATGTTATTTGATAATATGAAGTTAAATTCCTTTCAGAAAGGGTCTGAATATAGTAAAAAGTCTCTATTAAGATAGTGTCTTTTGCTAGTGATGTCCAACTGTTCTAAAAGTGTTGGAGAAAAATGAAGAATTAGGGTTACTTTTCTCAGGTGACATTTTTAATAAACCAAATGTTAAAGGATTCCTGATGAAGCAAATTGCAAAATAGACGTGATGGAACATGAAGGACAAATTGTAGGGCTCTAGTAATATTTTGGAAATCTATCTAAATTTTAATTCATGCATGTCTCTTAATCCTATTGCTTCTGCTATTAGAGTTTAATAAATTGTGATATGTACATATATATTTTTACAGGAAACATTCTCATTTCTAATTTCATTTTTCTTATCTAAAAAAAAACAGGGTAAAAAATTTTCAACTATTGCCTCAAGTTCAGCTTTGTCCTATTGTCCTGTGAAAGGAAGAGACTTTGATTTGTCTAACACATTTTTATTTCTTTTTCTTTTAATTTTTTTCTTAAGGGCATGGTATATCCCAGAAAAGGTAGTGAGATAACATGGCAGAAATAGAAATCCTGAGCTTTGAATTTAAAGAAAAAAAAATTCTGTTTTATCTGAAGTTTATTTTGAAGATTTCTTCAAATCATTTACCAATTTGTCACTGTTACCTTTCAAAGCTATATGTCCATCCACGTTGTAATACTGGTTTAGAGGCAGGAATGCTTCCCTGAGATTACAAGACTGCATAAAACAGAATTGGTTGGGAGATGATCTTGGCTCCCTTGGTCTTGCAGTTATTTTTGCAGCTTTGAAAAGAAAGAAAACTGGCCCAATAGCCTAGTCTTTGGGGTCCTTGCCTTGCATGTGCCAAGAACTCATATGGGCATGGGCACGGGCACCGGTTTGTGTCCCAGCTGTTCCACTTACCTTCCAGCTCCCTGCTTGTGGCCTGGGAAGGCAGTGGAGGACAGCCCAAGACCTTGGGTTCCTGCTCCCACATAAGAGACCTGGAGGAAGCTCCTGGCTTGGGATCAGCTCAGTTACAGCCATTGTGGCTACCTGGGGAGTGAGCCAGCAGACAGGGGATCTTTGTCTCTGTAGATCTGACTTCCCAATGAAAATAAATGAATCTTTAAAAAAGAAATAACACTGAAATGTCTATTAGGATTGTTAGATCAGTGGCCTGTCTAAAGGGCATGCAACTGATATGCCCTACACTACAGTTATAACTAGACCAAGACTACTATTTCTTTGAAGATCTATCATTATGTTTGTCATGTAGCAGTCAGCAAAAAGGATAATCTTTGCCTGTGAAATTTCAGATGTCCCCTGAAAGTCATTTGCTAAAGCTGGTGTGTATGAACTTTTTCCTTGGATTTGGCAGAATAATTGTATTGAGACACATGTTTTGGGAATTAGCAATTGAAATTGTACAACAACTGCAGAGAAAGTATTGTAAGAAAGAAATACGTTTTCTTCCTCCACTTTAATATCAGGATTAATTGGGTCAAGAATTTGCTACGACTTGTCATGCCAGGCCAAGATTGGTCAACTAAAAAATTGTATTCTGTTAGAGAGTATAGGTACATATGCTGTGTGTGTGAGTGCCTGTACTTTCCCCCAGCTTTAGAAATAATTCATCTCTTTGTCCTGTGTCTGCTTCAATTTTGGCATTGAGAGAACAAACAAAAAAATTCTGGCATTGTGGTGCAACAGGCTGAGCTGCAGTTTGCAGTGCTCATCCCACATGAATGCTGGTTTGAGTCCAAGTTGCTCTAGCTTGCCGACTTCATCCTGGCCCAGTCCTGGCTGTTGCAATCAAATGGGAAGTGAACCAGTGGATGGAGAAATTATTTTTTTCTATCTTGCTCTGCTTCTCAACAATTTTTAAAGTAGGAACTCTTAAAAATAATGAAGTCATCAAAAAACTCGTTAATTAGTAAAGACACTTTAAGATCTTCCTAGCTTATGGTTGATCTGAATTTCTATGAAATAGGTGTTTAAATGCTAATAATACTAAAACCAATCCTAAAAACTGTGTCTTATGCAAGTTTCAAAAGATTCGTTTTGGGAGATGTTCCTAAAAAAGGCATATTGAGCACAGATGGGAATGTGTAAAATATTTCTAATTATTCAGTATTACTCAACATTTAATTTCATGTTTGTTACTGTATCACAGGGATAGTGTCATTATTGGATTAAAATGTTGGATGTTTGTTAACACACTTAAAACTGTAACCAGTGAATAACACCTGTAGTATTTTTTATTATAGATTATATTTTATTTCAATAAACTTTGATATTTAGACCAAATTGTTTCTGCAATGTATATTCATCTCATTAAGTTACTTTTTAGAAGATTAGAAAAGAGGGGTTGGCATTCATCTATTAGCTGTTGGAATACATGGTACAACTTTTGGTAAATAAGACCTTTCTTCCTTCAAGAGGTAAAAAAATAACAATAAAGCAATGAAATATAAATTGTATAATAAATTAGCTGATTCCAGTGGTTGTTTTGTTGTATCCAGTACTCTTTTTGGAGAACTAGCAGTGGACCTAAGAAAGTATCATTTCACTTTACACCAGGAAGACAACCCTAATGTAAAGTTTTGTCCAACTATTTAATGTCCCGAACCAGGTAGAACCTGACATTTCTCTGTGATAACTGGTTTGGACTCTGCAGCTCTCTAAGAATTAATCACTATAGAAAGCTTCCTGTCATTGATAACAGACTGAAGCTTTAAAAGATAGAGATCATGTGGTCTAATTCATCTTGATTTCCTTGGCACATGACCATTGACAGGAAGTAATTCATCTATTTTTAGCGGCTATTTTTTTTATGGGCGTGGCCTGGAGGCTTTTATTCTCAGACACATATTAGGCCATAAATTCTTAGAAAATAGCTTCCAATCCCCAGCTTCTGAATTGGTTCTCACCATGTCTGCGTCTCTAGGTGGAACAGGCTAGAGCGACAGATGAGTCTAGACACCT